CGGAACAAATGAAAGTGAGATTTTGTTTTACAAATTAGAAAAGAAAATATATTATCCTACAACGGAATACAATAAGTTTTAGTGTAGGTCCAGCCTAGAGAATGCTGGATGTTAGTAAGCGAAGAATAGATATAAATGTAAGCGGACAGTGAGAATGATTATAAATGGTCTATACAACGATTTAGTAATCGGACAGTCAATTGTATTAATACGGTTGTTACACGCAGTTTACCTATACGATATGTCTGACGGAAATCGTAGGTAAACTTCTAATCTCGTGTGATTCTATTTTGGCTCTTATTTTGATTGTATCAATAAAATATAGAATCGTGTCTGAGAGCAGCCTCCGACCAGCGGAATTTGATTACAGAGTTGACTCGTTAAAATATAATCGTCGTGCTGTTGAGCAGTTTTCCACAAGGGAACTCGTGATCACAGGTAGACGTGGTCCTATCTAAAACAACGTTGCTATCTTAGCGAGGTGAGAAGTCTCATTCGCAAAGTAGCTAGTTGTACAAGTCCTTAGATAAAGTTAGGATGGCATGTGTAGCGGAAACGGCACAATGATCAAGTGTATCAAAGTGACGCCCCCACTGAAATGCAGAGATTCATTCTATCTGGCAGAGGAGACGGTTTGCTCGATACAAGAGTAGAAGTACCTCTAGATATGATGGTCAAGTGGGACGGTTTGCCTGCTTGCCCGAGACGGTTTGCTCGTTTACTATACTGAAGGTAACCTAGCTAGCTCAGGTGATAGAATCCTCGAGTCGCGAAACGTCGCCGTTTATATACCCGTCAACGGTAGGCCAGGGGGCCTGAGAGGTGCGGAAGAATTGAGCGTCGCGAAGCCTACGAATTGTTATTACTTGATATTTAGGGTTATTCGGGTTAGCGGGATCTTATTATTACCGCGATACGAATATCCTCGGATGTATACGTTACAATATATTGTAATGCATTTTCTGTCCTATGTATCTCCGATGACCCCAACGCCGTGCTCCACGGATCCCTTGGGCGCCAGGTGCATCACTGTACCAGCCCAATTCCTCGGACCTTTAAATTTCTATTCCGTAGCAATATCATTCCACACCAGTAGTTAAACAAGGAGAGTTCTGGACCAAGATTCCTGCACCGACATATTACCGACCTGTGGGTTCTCATCCGTGCTAAGTTGGAACGTGGTGCCCCCTAGGTGAGCGACGTTGGCGCCCCCTGTGTGTGTGTGTATGGTAAGTTAGGGTGATTGGGTCCCGTATGAATGATTTCTGTTTACGGCCCCGAAATTTTTGTCTTTGAAGAGGGTGCTGTGCGCGCAGTAGTCGACGGCGCCGACCCTTTCATCGGCTGACGTCATCAGCAGGGGGCCCTAGTTTTACGTCAGTTGTCAGGGATTTTACGTCAGGTGTTAGGTGTTTTACGGCAGATTTCAGAAATATTACGGCAGGTATCAGGGTTTTTACGGCAGATTTCAGAAATATTACGTCAGATTATAGGAATTTTACATCAGACGTAATTGAGTAGATTCTTCACCACTATCGTTCCGCTACGATACAGTGGCCTTGTAGAGACGGTAAAATCAAAGGAGTTGTCGAATACGCTACGATACAGTGGCCTTGGAGAGACGGTAAAATCAAAGGAGGTGTCGAATAACCCTTTGTACGTTGCCGAAAAAATTGTTTATAATAATTTAATGTGCACTATTTATTCGAGAAGAATTCCGATGACATTTCATTATCGTCATACCCCCCTGTTCCTCTTCCGCCTTCTTCACCACTATCGTTCCGCTACGATACAGTGGCCTTGGAGAGACGGTAAAATCAAAGGAGGTGTCGAATAACCCTTTGTACGTTGCCGAAAAAATTGTTTATAATAATTTAATGTGCACTATTTATTCGAGAAGAATTCCGATGACATTTCATTATCGTCATACCCCCCTGTTCCTCTTCCGCCTTCTTCACCACTATCGTTCCGCTACGATACAGTGGCCTTGGAGAGACGGTAAAATCAAAGGAGGTGTCGAATAACCCTTTGTACGTTGCCGAAAAAATTGTTTATAATAATTTAATGTGCACTATTTATTCGAGAAGAATTGCGCATCGAGACGGTGGATCTTTGATACCCCTGTTCCTCTTCCGCCTTCTTCACCACTATCGTTCCGCTACGATACAGTGGCCTTGGAGAGACGGTAAAATCAAAGGAGGTGTCGAATAACCCTTTGTACGTTGCCGAAAAAATTGTTTATAATAATTTAATGTGCACTATTTATTCGAGAAGAATTCCGATGACATTTCATTATCGTCATACCCCCCTGTTCCTCTTCCGCCTTCTTCACCACTATCGTTCCGCTACGATACAGTGGCCTTGGAGAGACGGTAAAATCAAAGGAGGTGTCGAATAACCCTTTGTATGTTGCCGAAAAATTTTTTTAGAACAATTTAATGTGCACTATTTATTCAAGAAGAATTGCGCATCGAGACGGTGGCGGATCTTTGATGTCAAAGAATTTAGCAAGTTCCGCTACGATACAGTGGCCTTGGGGAGACGATAAAATCAAAGGACTTTCTTCACCCCTATCGTTCCGCTACGATACAGTGGCCTTGGAGAGACGGTAAAATCAAAGGAGGTGTCGAATAACCCTTTGTACGTTGCCGAAAAAATTGTTTATAATAATTTAATGTGCACTATTTATTCGAGAAGAATTCCGATGACATTTCATTATCGTCATAACCCCCTGTTCCTCTTCCGCCTTCTTCACCCCTATCGTTCCGCTACGATACAGTGGCCTTGGAGAGACGGTAAAATCAAAGGAGGTGTCGAATAACCCTTTGTACGTTGCCGAAAAAATTGTTTATAATAATTTAATGTGCACTATTTATTCGAGAAGAATTCCGATGACATTTCATTATCGTCATAACCCCCTGTTCCTCTTCCGCCTTCTTCACCCCTATCGTTCCGCTACGATACAGTGGCCTTGGAGAGACGGTAAAATCAAAGGAGGTGTCGAATAACCCTTTGTACGTTGCCGAAAAAATTGTTTATAATAATTTAATGTGCACTATTTATTCGAGAAGAATTCCGATGACATTTCATTATCGTCATAACCCCCTGTTCCTCTTCCGCCTTCTTCACCCCTATCGTTCCGCTACGATACAGTGGCCTTGGAGAGACGGTAAAATCAAAGGAGGTGTCGAATAACCCTTTGTACGTTGCCGAAAAAATTGTTTATAATAATTTAATGTGCACTATTTATTCGAGAATTATTGCGCATCGAGACGGCGGCGGATCTTTGCTGCCAAAGAATTTATCAAGTTCCGCTACGATACAGTGGCCTTGGGGAGACGGTAAAATCAAAGGACATTTCAAATTACCCTTTGTACGTTACCGAAAAATTGTTTACAATAATTTAATGTGCACTATTTATTCGAGAGGAATTGCGCATCGAGACGGTGGATCTTTGATGTCAAAGAATTTAGCAAACCTTTGTATAATGCCGAAATGTAGATCCATGAATTGTTTATTTAATTAAAATTCCTTCACACTCTTAAGAAGAAGAAGAGTGCCCTCTATATAAGGAAGAGCTTGGTGCTCTTTCATTAGTTTACTGTCGCAATTCGTCGAGTTTGGAGAAAGAACGTGAACTGAAAGTAAGAATAGGTTTGAGAAGAAGATTTAATCGAACCTGTGAGAAAATGGACTTCTCAAAAATTAACAAAGTGGCGCGTTTGGAGGGTTTCCTGCCAACGAAAAAATTATCAGAACTGGAGGTTGAAAAAGAATACAAGATTACCAGCATAAGGAAAATTCAAACGAAATTTGGAGCAAGACACATCGTTGACGTGGAGAATAGTTTCTCAGTATTCCTGCCAGCAAGGATCTCAAAGGTTCTGACGGACGATGAGGATTTCTTTGAACGGATGGTTTTGGATACCGCTAAGAATCGGCTTTGTATGTGTTACCTCGGTGGGAAGTTCAACCTCATGGAATTTCGATATTTGTAAACGTTCATACTTATGGTTTAAATAAATTGCCACGTAAGTGATAAAAAATACAACTGCTTATTTCTTTCATATACACACTTTATTCTTAACACATTACCGACCGCTAGCGTTTCAGCAGCATACGCACGTTCGACCGGCCGCTCAGCCACGGATTCTCCCTGGCGCCGGCTCTGTTTTGGTTTGCCTGTCGCGATAGAGTGTCTGTGCGTTCCGTATGATCAAATAAATTGTCTACTTTCTGTTATTATAGGATAATTACATTTCATAGAATCTTTTATTTTAATGATATTAACGCTAAATTGTATTTATTTTATGTATTACAGTGGTTACTACAAATAAGGAATAGTTAATATGTTTTTAAAGCATGATAACGTTTAAAACAGTCGCCTTTATGTAATGGAACTTCGCAAAATTTACAAACAAAACCTGTTCTACTTCTTTTTTTATGAACTGCACAAACTCTACATTGTCTTAGGGGTTTGGAATTTCGATCACTGGTCACTATATTTATAAGTTTGTGCTTCCCGAAATTCGATAGTCTTCCAGGATGGTCTGATCTGGCTACTCTCCTTGTAGGTTCAGGAATAGGTTGACTGTCATCGTGTTCCGTAGAATTAGCTTCACTATCTGCCGTCCACGAAATTGCCACTTTATGCAGGAAATTCTTATAGGTAATATTTTTTCCATTTATAACTGTGTATAGTTTGAATGAGTTAAACAATGCACAATTGATGAAAAACATTCCAACCCGTTTTGTCCATTTTTTTATTTTTCGGAAAATAGAGTAATACGCGAGATATTGGTCCGCGCGATCTACGCCTTTCATATATTTATTATAGTTCATGATGGAATTAGGCTTTTGTATTGAGGCTGTGGATCTTCTGCTTCTGTTTCTGGATTCCATCAGTTGTGCAGAATGTATGGTAGAAATCATATTCACATTTCTTCTGCCATTATTCCATACTTCTAACAAAATTTCACGATTCCTGCGAAATTCGTACTGTCCTCTTGTAAGTCGTAGAGTTTTTAGCGATTGAGGAAGACCTCTATTTTTGCGAATGGTTTCACACACTCGCATCTTATTTTCTAGGATAATTTGGGCCATTTTGACACTATTGTAATAATTATCTTGATAAATCTCATGCCATAAGTTTTTATATGGTTCAAGAACTGTTAACACCGTGTCTTCTAATTTGTTTCCATCAGCAGCATAAATGTGGAAATTACAGATGTAACCTGTGACAGCTTCACACACCATTTTCAGTAGTATCCCGTACTTCGTAATTTTTCCTGGATTGTACGTTCTAATCGAGAGTCTGCCTCTCCACGGAATTATGCATTCATCCAAAGATAGTTGTTGACTGGGTTTATACACGTCATTAAATTTTCGCCGTAAATGATCAATCACAGGCTGGACTTTAGCAAGCCTATGTGCATTGTTAGGTATGTTGTCATTGTTCGCAAAATGCCAGCTCTGCATTATTTGCACAAATCTGTTTCGGCTCATCACCTGTGCGAAGAATGGAGTTTCTATAGTTCGATCGGTCGACCAGTAATCGTAGAGGACGTTTTTTTTTATTTGTCCCATTAGAACTATTAGTCCTAAAAACTTCTTCATCTCCGGTACGGTGATATTAGTCCATTTGTTTGCTTTTGATGGAATTTGATATCTTTCCATGACCTGGTAATGATATCTGTTCGATTCCATCACCAGGTGCTCGAAAAAGTCGTCTCCAATAAATAAATTGACACTGTCCATTACATTTTCAGGAGAAGCTAGCGTAATTTTTATTCCAGGGCTGCCGTCGAACGGCTTCAAAATTCTTGCTTCGTCGTTCCTCGACCATATCTCATCGTCATCTTCATTGTTATTTAAATCGTCTTCTATGATACTTATTTCTTCGTCCTCTGAATCGCTGTATCTTAGTGGCAATACAGATCTTTGTTTTTGAATTATTATATCGCTACTATCACTTTCGTCAATATTATCACTTTCTAAATTACTGTCAGGACAGTCTGACAAATGATCTAAATAAAACTCTCCACTGCCATTTTTTTCGTTCATTGCGAAGGGTAAATGTATCCAAACGATATAAGAAAGTCTGTAGAGCCGAAGCAACGCAAGCAAAGCTTCTGTGCAATATACCTTAATCTAAAAGACAGGCGACAGTAAAAAAAATGATTGTTTATCGCTAAGACAACCGATTAATCGACCATCGGTTGCTGAGCGTGGGTGAAAAAAAGACGATTATTTGGCTACCGGTCGGTAAGCGCTGGCGAAAAAAAGCCGATTAATCGGCTACCGGTCGGCAAGCGTTGGTGACAAAAAGCCGATTATTCGGCTACTGGTCGGTAAGCGCTGGAAACAAAAACTCGATTAATCGACTGCCGGTCGGTAAAGTGCGATATTTGTAAACGTTCATACTTATGATTTAAATAAATTTCCACGTAAGTGACAACAAAATACAACTGCTTATTTCTACACACTTTATTCTTAATCAAAAAATATACATTCCATCATCCAAGTCCTTAACGATTTAACATTTTCCATCGCACAATTGAAATGCGGAGCATGGTAATGCGTACATAGGGTAAGTGAATTTTTTCTCAGTTTTTGCAGCGAAGGGCAGCCCAGATCTCCCAAGTTCACGATGTTTAACGATTGTCCCATAAATTTCTCCAACCAATTTTTCTTTTCCAATCCTTTTACATAAATTCTGGTAGCATCTCGTAAAATAACTCGAAGAATATTTCCGGCTTGGTTGTAAGATGTATCGCCAGAGTTCCAAGACATACCATGAAAGTTGCGTTGTAACCACAAATTCATGCACTTGTATTTCGCTGAAAGAGAGCTCCATGGACACGGTGGTTTAAACAGAAACGTCGCAGGCTCGGAGAAATCGCTACCCACTGCAATCACAGACAGCTCCTTCAAGACAAACTCGTCCGAGGGTTTCTTGAAACCTTGTACGTCCACGATGAACTCCATTGTGACAGACTGCTTGCATTGAGATGATCGTAGGGTTTTTATACTAACTTTTTTACCCCACCACTAATTGGATTATATTCTACTATTCGATCATGCAGAATTAAACAGAACGCTGATGTTTCGGTGGGGGAATTTTGGTCTGCCTCGAATTCGAGACGAACGTCGACTGGTCCAAATTTGAGCGACTCATTTTGCTTAGAGCAATCGATGATAATTAGTGAACCATAGGCGAGGAAATCTTTCTTTCTCAGTATGGGCTCAGGCTCTTTGCCGTAATAAGTAGCTTGAA